TAAGTAAAATGAAATCTTGACAACGTCAATTCTTTTTTCCATTTTTTCTTTTTTTAAATAAAGTTTTATTTTATATTGATCTGCTTACAAAGTTCATATAGATTGCGTTTCACTCTATCCTTCATTCACATTGTGTTTCATACAATCATTTCCATTCATTGTATTTTATAAAATGTATCAGAATGGAATTGTGCCCACCTATTACCCTGTATATCCAAATCTCTGCCAGATCATTCCCACTTCCTTTACCCACCCCTCCCTCCACCTATCAGATTGTGTGGCCCTATGACCTTCCCTCTCTCCATCTTCACCCCTCCGTTCCTACCCTCCCCCCTTTAGATTCTCATACATAATTTATTAGTTATCTATTTCTACAATAATGGTCCTATACATTATTTATCCTTATGAGACTCAGTTCACTCAGCATAAGTCTCTCCAGTCCCTCCAAAGTTATATAATATTTTTTAAAATAAAGAAATGTAATTATCCTTGTTTACATTTCATATATTCTGCATAAATGATTCAAATGTATATGCATAAAAATGATTACAATCCAGAGGAATTTTCTGTTGTTTTTTTTTTTTTTTTTTTTTTTTTTTTTCTATAATTATATTTTATTAATTTTCATAAACATTTACAGAGATTTTGGGCTTCCACTCATTCATTGTTGCACTATTCTCTCTACCCTCCTCCCAGTTTGTTCTTGTCCAAATGCCACAGTGCTTGTCAAAGCCAGTTCTGATTAATCTTCTTTGTCAGTGTATCCTTTGCCATTCCCTATCACTCCTCCCTGAGAGAGACTTCACCCTGAGTCGTAAGGAAAAGGGGACGACGTATTCTCTTAGCTACTTCCTGCTGAAAAGGGACGCTGTGGGTTTCAGGGTGAAGATCTTCTCTCACTACTCTAAAGGGCCCCTTTGGCAGTAGGAAACACATAGACTATTATGGAGATTGATTTTGGAATTCAGATGCACTCTTATTGATTGTGCTTGGCTGTACATGTACATATCCTTCAAGATGTATCATGGGGGTGTTGCAACCTAGAAGACACAAATTTGACTAACAAGTTATAAGTACATGAGTCCAAAAATTATGGAAAAGTAAAAGAAAAGATTCTTTCATTGTTTTACAAACCCTCCCCCAGGTCCCCTCCACCATGCAGCCCTCGCTCTAGTCTCCTGTGATGACAGAAATACCCAGTTACATCTCTCTTTTAGACGGTTCTCTCCCTCCTCTGCTTCAGTGCAGTATACATTATTGAACCCATCTTGAATTTTCTGTTGTTTATGAACAAAAGATTAATATAAAAATATCTGCACTTCCATACATTCTTAAGAAATAATTAGAAAAGAATAATTTTGAAACTATTTCAGGTTCCTTTAATTTTGTTGCTCCTGTCTCCATTTATCTTATATTGCTTTTGGTACAATTGTGAGGATCTTCATTTTTATTGCTGTGATATCTAATCATACTGAAGGCTTTGATCTTATCAATTAGTGCTTTAGGTCCTCTTCACTTACAGCAAACAAGGTTGTGTCATCTGCATATTGCAGGTTGTTAATGAATCTTCCTCTGAACTGATGCTGCATTTTTATTCCTATAGTCTAGCTTCTCAGATTATTGGTTAAGATACAAATTGTCTCCCTATCTATTTAGTTTCCACAGGAGCATAACTAAATGTTCTGGAATTCCTATTCTTTGGAATACTATCCATAATTTACTATCTACACAACTGACTGCTTTTACATAGCCAGTAAAACACAAGGGTTTTTTTTTTGTTGTTTTTTCCCCCCCTGGTTTTCTCTGCTTTCAGGCAAGATCCATCAGACATTAGCAGTGATATCCTTTGTTCTATGTTCTCTTTGTAATCCAGTTTGACTTTCTGGTAGTTCCCAGTTGCATTTGCTTTTTAAATTATCTTCAGTAAAATGTTACTTATATGTGATATTAATAGTAATTTAGAAAGTCATGATGTCAGTTGCATAAGCTTTGCTGAGCATTAGAATCATCTGAATCAAGTTTTTAAAAATATATTATGCTCAGTGCATTACTAAGTGGGGTGGGGGTGAAGTATGTAAGAAGTGACCACATGACCTTGTCAGAGAGATGCCACTAAACAATCTGTGACACTTTTGTGCAGTGTTTCAGTAAAAATATATTCTTTTTAAATGTCTTCTGTTAGAGACCTCCCCTCCATTATTTCAAGTAGGAAGGTCCATCCCTTTGAGGATGTAACTTTCTTTTCTTTTTCGTTCTTTTTAAAAAAATTATTTAGCCCAGTGGCAAGAAGCTGCACTGCAATCCCAGAGGCATGAGGTTTGAATCCACCAGATGCTGAGCTGGAGAAGGAGGGACAATTTCCTCATGTGTCAGTGAGATCAGATTTGACGGTATACACACACACACACACACACGCGCACACACAAAGAGGATGTAACTTTCTTTCTAATAAATCTATCTTTTACTATTTTATCCTTAAAAATGTATTCCGTTAGTTATAACAAACCCTTTTTTAGTAAGTCCAACTTACATGCATCAAAATACTTAAGTTTAAAGTCTATGCTCATTTACTTTTGTTTCCCCACTTCCTCCCCTACATTCATTTACTTTTTGAATCTTCTAATATTCTCCTGTCAGAGCTGCCAGTATTACCCAATTCCAGTGATGCTTCAGATCAAGCAGTTTTGTTTACCTGCTGTTTTTGTTGCAGCTATTTTTTTATATTTAGTTGCTGATTCTGTCAAATTTTCTCATTCTAAAAAAAAACAACTGTAACACAAACAGATACATGCACAACCATGTTTCACCGCAGCATTATTTAAAATGGTAAAGTGATGAAAATATCTGAACTATCCACTAGTGAATGAGTGGATAAACAAACCATGATATACATATAATGTTATCTACATATGTAACACAATGCTCAAAACTGACGCATAAAATCAAGAAACATTGCACAATCTGCATGAAATTCGAGGCCATTGAGCTGTGTGAAAAATAAGTCACTCACAAAAGGATAAATATCATAAGTCTACTTTCTTAAAAGCTAGGAAAAGGGTTATACACAGAAATAAATATTCTTGGATGTTACCAGGGCCGGCATGGAAGAAGAGAGGAGGAAAGATTAGTAAGTACCTGACAGAGACAAATTCTGTTGGAGGGAGAGGCAACTAGCGTAGTGTTACTACAGAATGAGAAGATGCAGAGCGGTGCACAGCAAGAAGAGTAGCTACAATATAAATACGTACATACCGTCATGAAACCAAGTATGTATGAATGGTCGAGTGGAAAACCAATTTGCTCGTTAAACTTTCACACAAAACACAGTAAAAACAACGCTTTTGTTAGTGTTACTTAATTGAAGACATACTGCACTTGAGCAACTCACAATAATATCACATGGCATTCTATCATTAAAATGGCCAATCAGCATTACTAAGGATTCTGGGAGATCTGGTCTGTAGGAACCCAAAGGTGGCGTGTCTAAAGCCTTTCAAATCCATCCGTGGCTTCGCAGGAGACAGATGTGCAATCTTTCCCCCAGGGATTTACAGCTTCTGAAAACCTGCTTGAGGGTCAGCTATGAGTCGGTTCCATTTCTAAAGCTTTGAAGGTTTGGGGTTTTTTTGCTGTTGGTTTTTTGTTTGTTTTGTTTTTCTTCCCTACTCGTTTATTTACAAAACCTGAATACACAATGGAACAAATTCTTTCAATTTTCCTCACCCCCCCATCAAATTATACAACCCAATGATTAATTCCCTCTTCCCCCTGTACATTCCCATTCCTCTGCTTCCAGCCTCTCCCATCCCTCGTGGATCCTTATATTCATTCTACAATAACGGTTTTATACAATATCTATCCTTGAGGGACTGAGTTAGTTCACTCAGCGTAATGCTCTCCAGTCCCTCCCAAGTTAGGTAATAATTTACAAAGTTATTGCTCCTGTGTGCTGCATAGTATTCCATTGTGTGTTGGTTGTTGTTTTTGTTGCTCTGAGTCTACCTGACGGATGGCAGTGAGTCTGAGTTTTCCTAGAAGGCATGTGCCCTTAAATGACTTCTTTAGTAGAATTCCTCTCTCTTTCCTTCTCCCAAGACTTGCTGGAGTTACATCTTAACAGAGTGTGCCTTCGAGGCAGAGATGGTGAAACTTCATCTCATAATCTTTGAGCACGTTGCCAACAGGGGCCAGTTCTTGGAAAAAGTCATTCTAGGAGAGGTGTGTGTGTGTGTGGGGGGGGGGGGGCACTCCCTCCCTGGTAGTGGAGGCTGGTAAAGTTCTCTATCATGACCTGGTCAGACAAGGAAGAGAAGACCTTTAACAAAACGGATTGACTCTCAACAATGTCAGAGAGGAAGTAGGTCTGGCATCTGCTTCTGAAAGGCCACAGCCAAGGAGAATTGATGCCTTTGAGCTGTGGTGCTGGAGAAGAGTATTGAGAATACCATGGACTGCTAGGAAAACAAACAGATTTGTCCTGGAAAGGGTTAAACCGGGTGGCTCCTTGGAGGCAAGGATTCTGAGGCTCCGTCTAACATACTTTGGACATGTTGTGAGGAGAGACCGGTCCTTGGAGAGGGACATCATGCTTGGGAGGGTGGAGGGACAGCGCAGGAGAGGAAGACCCTCTATGAGGTGGATTGATTCAGTGACTGGGATAATTGGGATGGGAGTGTCAGAGACAGTGCGATTGGCACAGGACAGAGCAGAGTTTAGGGCTGTTTTACATAGGGTCGCTATGAGTCGCAAACGACTCGACGGCACATAACAACAACAACAACAACATCTCTGCAAACATAAGGTGGCCACCAACCAAAATTAACTCAATGGGACTTAATGGTAACTTTTTTTTTACCCTGGAGTGAAAGAGAAGAGGGCGGATGGAAGGAGGAGGGAAAGAGCCTCGGGAGGCGTGGCGGGGGCGGACCGAGGGGCGCGGCGAGGGCGGGCCGAGGGTCCCCTGGCGCCCAGTCTTCCGCTCCTGGCGGTTGGCTCTCAGCATGGCGGTTGCGGGTTCCAGCTCGGCGGTGCCCGTGTGGCTGACTGAAGACGACCTGGGCTGCGTCATCTGCCACGGGCTGCTCGACTGGCCCGCCACGCTGCCCTGCGGCCACAGTTTCTGCCGCCGCTGCCTGGAGAGGCTGTGGGGCGCGCCGGGCAAGGGCGGCGGCTGGGCCTGCCCCACCTGCCGCGAGGGCGCGCGCCAGAGGCCGCCCCTGCGCAAGTGCACGCTGCTGCAGGACCTGGTGGACAAGTACAGCCGGGCGCTGCGCGAGCTGGACGCGGGGCCCGGCCGGGCGCCCGCAGGGACCCCCGCAGAGGACCCTGTGCCCGCCCCGCGCCGCCCGTCCCCGCTGCCGGTAGGGAGGCGGCCCCGCTGACGCCCTCCCCTTTGGCTCTTCCTCGCCTTCTACTTTCACATTCATTTTTCTAAATACAAAAGTAGAACCCGCTCTTCGGTGAATCTTTGCCAAGTTCTAAAAAACCAGAACCCTGCTGTCCCCCTCGCTGCTCTACACCTTGGTTTATTTCCGCGTTCCTTTTAAGACCGCCTTGTCTTTTTATTATGAACATAGTTAATTAACTATGTTAACATAGTAGGGTCTTTAAAACTCTTTGTAAACATAGCTTGTAGTGACTGAGGACGCTTTGCACTGGCTTTTTAACGTGGTTGCCTTGACAGGACGTTGGGTGGTATAAATACTATTTCACTTTCCCTGTGTTTTTAAAATTAAGCACCTTAAGTGTACATTTAATGGTGGGAAAATTATTATTATTAATTTATTTTTATTTTTATTATTTTAATTTTTTTGCATTAGCTCAGGGATACTGAATACTTAAAACTGGAGCCTGGAAACTTAGGAACAGCAAACTGCGTGACCAGCAATTAACTACCTTCTATACAATAGCCTGATGATGATTTAAAAAAACATAAGCTATTTTTTGAGAGGACTTCTGGGCTTCTTAGAGGTGTACAAAATCCATTTTTGAGCCTCAAACACAATTTTTAAAAGTCAAAAGCCTAAAGTCCAAAGTCTGGTTGATTTAGAGTTGGATGATGAACATCCTGTATTTCTGTGACTCTAGACAGGAGCAAAGTTCTCCATTGGAGGTGTGGGTCCAGCCTGTGATGAATGTTACTGGGGCAGGCCATTGCCAGGGTGTATTAAGATGGCAAAGTTTCCCCCTACATCAACCAGAAAGCTTGGCAGATGAAACCCTTTAAGCAGCTCCGTTCGCATTTTCATCTGAGTTTTTTTGTTTGTTTGTTTTGTGTGCAAGATGTCAAATAAAAAGTGTACATCTATGGAGCACTTGAAAGTCTCCAAGACACTTTGACAGTGAACAGTTAGTAGAAGAGGCAAAGGACAAAGGTGAATTCACAGGATGAGTCATAGGCAAGAGCTCAGCTCTCTGACTGCATCCTGGTTCCTTCTACTGCTTAGCCACTTCCTTTCTCAAGCCTTCACCTACCCTGTCCTTTCCTCTCTGACTTCCTGTGTACAAAACAACCCTAGGTCCCCTAAGTTCCCAAGGTGAAGATCAGGAGTGGAAAATGGGCCTGGGCAAGGCCTGCATTCTGGTTTTCTGCACAGTGGTCCTTTCTTTGCCTGTTTCCTTTGCACAGCTCCCTCCGTCTAGTGCTGAGTGCAGGGTCCAACCTTATGCCCTGTCTTTGCTCTTTTGAAGGCAGCAGCACAGAAGAGCATCACAGAAGTTGGTCGGGAGCTGGTCAAGTTGGTGGAGCAGCTTGTAGACATCACTGGGAGGCTTCAGAATCAGCGATCCCTCCCACAGTCAGAGGCATATGATGCATTGAGCATCTTGGACACGGTATGGCCAGCTTGGAGAGGAGAGGATTGCAAGGGGGCTGAGTAATGAATATGGTCCACCTGGGATGACATGAATGTATTTTTAGCTGAAGGATATGTTACGTTTCAATCTTTCATCATCCAAGCATAGATGATTTAAAGATTGGAAAGTTTGAAGACAGGAACTTTTGAGTTAGATTCAATGTCATTATTCCCCTACCCAATTGTAAGGTCTCCAGTGACCATCAGGTAAAGCCTGCAAACATTTCACCTCTTACCCTCATTGACTTCTCTGCATCCTTAGACACAATTGATCATGCCTTCCTACTTTAATCCTCTTCCCTTAACCTTTGACACATAGTCTCCCAGTCCTCGTCTGGCCCTATGTGAGCCTTCTCCTTCTTTTGTAGATTCACCCCTTCTGCTCAGCAATTAAATGCTCGAATTCTTCAAGGCTCAGTTGTAGTTCCCCTCTCTCTTCCCCTAAAGCTGTCTTCTCACATCCACATTTCAGTTACCATCATATGCACAAACATGGAGCTCTGGTAGCCTAGTGGTAAGGAGTTGCACTGATAATCAAAAGGCACACAGTTTGAATCCACCAGCTACTCTGAGGGAGAAAGATTGGTAGTTTCCTCTTGTGCAGTTTACTGCTTCTGAAAACCTACTGGAGGGTCAGCTATGAGTTAGTTCTAACTCAATGGTATACACAACAAACATTTCCATCTTTGACACCTCTCAGTTCTATACTGGTGCCATCTCCGAGACTCCCTTCACTACCCTGTCTCATCAGTGACTGGTAGTGCATCAGTGACTCTCCAAGTGCATAGGCCAGAAACCTGGAAGCCATTCTTGTGAACTCCCTCTCCCTTACCCCAGCACACACCTACTATTCTAAGAACTGCCTAAACATCTCTCAGAGCTATTTGCTACTCCTGACCGGTTCTTGCCTGCATTGCTGTTAACTACATTGTTAATTGCATGTGCCACTCTTAACTCCTTTTCTGTTCTCAATGCAATCACAGTGATCCTCTAAAAAACAATCTGCTCACATTACTCATCTGCTAAAAGCAGTATGGTGCTTTTTATTTATAATTAAGATCAGAATCCTTCCAGGGCCAGCAAAACTCTGTGGAACCCACCTCTCAAGTTTCCTGTCCTCCCGGCCACCCTGGCTTCTCCACACTGTCCATCCACTGGGTCTTGATTCCTCCCACTACTGGGAGCACTTCACAGTATGTGGTCCTTTGTCCTGTCCCCTGGGTAATGCCTCCTCATGCTGCAGACACCTCACCAGGAAACCCACCCACCACCATGGACTCCATTCTGCCATGAGACAGAGTAGAACTGCTCCACAGGATATCAGTTTCTGTTGTTGTTAAATGCCATTGTGTCAGTTCCAACTCATAGTGACCCTGTGAAGAATGCGTCTGAGCCCAGCCCTATCCTGTGCCTTCCTGACCATCTCTGACATACACCCGTCGTTATAGTCACTGTGTCAAACCATGTGTAGAGAGTCTTCCCCTCCTGCACTGACTCTTCACTTTTCTTAGCATGTTGTCCTTCCCAGGGGCTGGCCCTTCCTAACAACATGCCCAAAGTATGTGAGATGAGGTTTCACCATCCTTGCCTCCAGGGGGCACTCTGCCTGCACCTTTCCCAAGACATATTTGTTTGTCCTTTATGAGATATTTAGCATTCTTGTCCAATACTATGACTCAAAGACATTGATTCTTCTGTTATCCTGATTCATTGGCCAACTTCAGCAACATAGCAAGTAAAACTATTATAGTTTGGATCAGGTGCACTTTAGTCTTAAGACTGACATCATGGGGGAGCTCTGGTGGCCTAGTGGCAAGAAGCTGCACTGCAATCACAGATATGCGGTTCAAATCCACCAGATGCTCTGCTGGAGAAGGAGGGGCCATCTCCTCCTGTACCAGTCAGATCCAATTTGACGGTACACACACACACACACACAAACAAAATAATAAAATTAAAAAAAAAGACTGACATCATTGCTCTTCAGCAATTCCTGAAGCAGACTGCTTTGATTTTTTTCCTATGGAGTAGCTAGTGGGTTTGAACAACTGACCTTGAAGTAGGCAGTCAAGCATTTTTACTACTGTGCTACCAGAATTTATTTCTTCAGGGTCGGCTTTAAAAAGTTTAATCTCCCAGTTTGATAGCAGGTCTTAGAATGCTGGCGCCCTTTTATTTACTTCAGGGATTTTCACTCCTAACCCAGAGGCCCTGTCTGTATGGCAGTTTAAGTTCATGATCTACTCTACAGAAGTATGATGGGTAATCTCCTCCCAAGGGATGTACAGTCTTAGAAACCCAGTGGAGCTATGAGTTGGCTGTGATTCAATGTCTGTAAGTTTGTTTTATTTTAATCTATTGAGGTTATCCATTGTAATTTATATACTTGTAACAATTTATTAATGCCTTTTTCCACTTCCCACTGGATGCTAAGCTTCATGAGACAGGGACCTTGACGGCTTGTGTCCTTTGCTCACTGTTGTATCCCCAGGTCTTCACACAGTTCCTGATACATGCTCCACAAATATCTAGTGAATGGATGAATAATAGATAGGTCTTGAGGGATGCAATGTGTTGAGAATAGAAAATCTTAGTGTCTGACTTTCAGAATTGACTTTGCTACTAAAAAGTATTATGGCTTTGGATAAGTCATTTCATGTTACCTAGCCTCAGGTTGCTAAGTGTAAAACAGGAATAAGATGTGTGGCTTGCCACTTTGCTGGCTTGTGGTGAACATTTAAAAAGATTAAGACTATATAAAGCAAGGGGAGCTCTGGTGGCCTAGTGGCAAGGAGCTGCAACTACAATCTCAGAGGCGCACTGTTCGAATCCACCAGATGCTCTGCCGGGTGAAGGAGGGACAGTCTCCTCCTATACCAGTCAGATCTGATTTGACGGTACACTCACACAAAAATAATAAAATTAAAAAAAATTTTTTTAAAAAAAGACTATATAAAGCAGAAGTGGCATCCACTTTCTAAATAACATGCCTCTGGAGACTCTATGATCTTTGATAAATGTCAATAGTTATAGAGGGGCTTCAGGCCTTTTCATAGAACAAACAGTCATGCTTGACTCAAAGGCAATCAACAACAACAACATATTAAAAAAACTAAAAACTTTAAAAAGATTAAAAACTATATAATTAAAAAAACTATAAAACAATGTAGAAGATATAGGATAGAGTTAAGTATGGCAATTTAATCACCATGAATTTTAATGTTTGTTTTATCAAATGGTGCTCATGAGTTCCACCTGAAAGGAAGGAAGTAGGAAAACTGTTGACTATACTGTAGGTATTGTAATTAATGATGTGAAACAAAATACATATAAATGGTTGAATGTAAAACTAATCTTTTTGTAAACTTTTACTCAAATCACAATAAAAGGCCAAACCAAACACAAAAAAATCTGTAAGGCAGTGATACCTAGCTCTTGGTAGTTGGTTTCTAGCAGTAGTAGGACGAGACACTAGTGGTAGATTTCTTGCCTTGCACACGGGGGACCTGGGTTTAATTCCAAGACAGTGTACATACCTCAAGAGAGTCACCACTTGTCTGTGAGTGGAGAACTGTGTGTTGCTATGATACTGAACATGTTTCAGCAGAGATTCCAGGCTAAGAAAACTAGGAAGAAAGGCCCAGGCATCCACTTTCAAAATAATCAATTTTAGGTGACTAAATACATAATCAGAGCTATATATAGCCATTCACAAATTCTACATGAACAGTTTCTCAGCAGTGGCGATATGCTTCTGAAATCAATGACGGAACTCTCTGGGTCACAGTGATCTACAGTTGACTGTTAGAATGGGTCAGGACCAAAGTGGCATTTTGTTCTCTTGTGCCAGGAGGACAGGTCACCGGTAGGCAGGGGACCATTTCAGCAGCAGCTAACACCACCATTATAATTATTCTTCTTTTTTTAAAATATAGTCTTTATTACATTTTTTCAAAAACCCAATAAACCCAAAAGCCAAAGAACCAAAATCTTTTGTATTCTTCCCTGGGCCAAATCAATACTAGGCAGAGAAGGAAAAGACAATGCACAGAATGGGACAAAACATTTGAAAATCTCGTATGAAATGAAGGTCTTGTATATAGAATATATAAAGAAATGTTGCAATTCTTCTGGGTAGTCAGGCACAGGTTTCTAAACCTGCTTGTGTGGTGAGAGTTGACTTCTGGATAAGGCCTCACTGAAATTCTTTGTAAACAAGGAGTTGGTGGCCTAGTAATAAGAAGCAGCACTGCAATCTCATTACTACTATTGGTGAAAAGAATGGGAGACAGAATAGCCACAAGCAGAGCTGGAGAAAAAGGACACTGAGGAGCAGATGTATTGGGAAATTACAGCATGTGGGGTTGAAGAAAAAGATGTCATAAGTCAACATAAGTTGACTTTTCTGAACTGACCTATAGCTGACCTTCCAGTGGGTTTTCAGAGGCAGTTAATCCCATGGGAGGAGATTGCCCATCCTTCTTCTGTAGACTTGCTGGCGGATTCGAATTGCACACCTTCAGGATTGCAGCAAAGCTTCTTACCACTAGGTAAAATAATGGTAGCAGTCAAGGAAATATTATTCTGGCCTCTGTGGCTTATTTTAGTGACCATCTGTATCATGGTTTTATTTTTAAAAATTTTTTTTTAAACTCCCTAAGAGATAGGTCTAAAATGTTTAAATGTTTTTGTGTGTTATTTAAGAAATTCATGTTTTGGGGTTTTTTTTCATAAAATATTACAAAAGACATATTAAAGAAAATAATAATCCATAACCTCACCACCCAGAAAGAAGTGCCTTTTAATATATTACATTTGAATCTTTGTTTAGTCCAGGTTTGAAGTGTACATGTGTTTAGAGTGCTCTGATGGCTTGGTGCATAGGGACTAAGTTACCCCTCTAAACCAAAGCATGACTCTCGGGCAGTTCTAACCCAAGAACAGCCCCATAGGACAAAGACGGGCAGTCTCTCCCCGCGCCATTTAAAGTCTTGGAAGCCCAGTGGAGGGTCAGCTATGGATCAGTTTCAACTGGGCAGCAATGAGATTTATAGAGAGAATTAAGGGTTTTGTTTCTTTTTAGAGGATTGGTTAATTTTAAAAACTGCCAAAAAATTGCCAAAGGGGCCCTTTAGAGTAGTGAGAGAAGATCTTCACCCTGAAACCTACAGTGTCCCTTTTCAGCAGGAGATAGCTAAGAGAATAGCCGTCCCCTTTTCCTTATGAATCAGGGTGCAGTCTCTCTCAGGGAGGAGTGATAGGGAATGGCAAAAGACATACTGACAAAGGAAATTAATCAGAACTGGCTTTGACAAGACTGTGGCAATTGGACAATTAAAACAGACTTTCGGGGGGGGGGGCGGAAAGAAGAATGAACTGGGGAGGAGGGTAGAGAAAGTAGTGCAACAGTGAATGAATGAATGAAAACCCAGAATCTCTGTAAATGTTCATTGAAATTAATAAAATTTAGTAATTAAAAAAAAACTAGTTAGGAGGTAAATTGAAAGTTTTAGCTGCTTAGCAGAACTTGAATATCATATTTATTGGATTCTATAAGGGACTCTCACTTGTTGATTCATTTAATGATTCATCAATAGGCTTCTTGTGACGTGGACCTGTCCTTGGCTTCTCCAAAGATAGTGACTTCCAACACATCTGATGAGCAAATAGGAGATGTTCTCCATGCCCTTGAAGAAATCCAGGAAAAACTACAGAAAAATTTCATGGGAGAAAAAGCCCTCAATGAACAAACACAGGGTGAGTTGATATTACCTAGGAATGAAGATCAATTATGGAACCGGGGCGGGGGAAATGGCCAAGTGCCTCTAGGCTGTGTTCGTTGGGACGTGACCCCAAAAGCCAGCTGCATTCTGCTGTGGTGTTGAAAGTAAGGTTAGGGTGTGCTGAGGTGGAGTCAGGAGTTACTAGTTTTCGGTACCTCCAGAAGTGAGATATATCAGTGGTCTTTCACAGACATTTTCTCACTTCCTTGCTCACTGCCATCACGTCACGTCTGACTTCTAGTGGTGCTTCATCATGTTTCTGGGACTGTAGATCTTAATGGAGGGAAACTGCCTGTCTTTCTTCCACTTTTAAGACCTCACTAATCCAGACCCTAGACCTGATGCTACTGGCTTATTACTAATTTCTATAATCTTTCTGAGGCATTTCATAAATAGGCTCCTTTTCAATGCTTAACTAATACATTTCTTTATTAATAAAGCATATTATAAATAAACCAGAAATTCTGAACCTGTTGCCATGGAGTTGGCTCTGATGCAGGACGAGCCACGAGTTCCAGAGAATAACTGTTCTTTTCGGTTTTTGGGTTTTTTTAAAAAAATTATTATTATTATTAATTTCAATGAACATCTACAGAGATTTTGGAATTCCATTCATTCATTGTCTCACTTTTCTCCCTACCCATTCACCCCCACCCCCACCCCCAGTTCACTCCTCTCCTTGAAAAGCGAAAGAAAAACTCCTTCATTGGTACACAATCCCCCTCCACCCCGCACATCCCCACTCCCACCCCAAGTATACTCCACTCTGCAACCCTTATTCCGGACTCTTATGATAATTGTAATGCCCTAAAATATATTAATTTTAAACTATTCTCTCCCTCATTGGCTTCAATGCAGTAAACATAATTTATCCAGTTTTTCTCAGTCTTACCCCCACCCCAGTGTCAGCCTCCTTCTACAACAGTGGCACATTTGTCCCTTTGTGACTGAGATATTTCACTCAGTATAATGTCCTCCAGGCTCACCCATTTTGAATAATATTGCATGAGTTCCTTGTTTTTCAAAGCAGCGTAGTATTCCATTGTGTGAATATACCACAGCTTCTCTATCCATTCGTTTGTTGATGGGCACTTGGATTGTTTCCAACTCCTTGCTATGATGAACAAAGCTGCGATAAATATGGGTGTGCATATATCTGCCTGAATGTCAGTTATGGTCTCTTTGGGATATATTCCCAGTAGTGGAATTGCTGGGTCAAATGGTATTTCTATTTGCAACTTTTTGAGAAAGCGCCACACCACTTTCCACAGTGGTTGCACCATTTTACACTCCCACCAACAGTGAGTAAGGGTTCCGGTCTCTCCACAACCTTGCCAGCATTTGTTGCTAGCTGTTCTGTTAAATTTTCCTATTTTTACTGGGGTGAGATGATATCTCATAGTTGTCTTGATTTGCATCTCTCTCAGGGCTAGGGATTTTGAACATTTCTTCATGTGCTTGTTGGCCATCTGAATGTCTTTTCAGTTTTCTAGGCTGTGTTTCCCCTCTCTGGATGCAGGTTACCAGGCCTTTCTTCTGAGCTGCTGGCTGGCTTGGAATGGCCAGCCTTTGGGTTAGCAGTTGAACACAAAGGACTTTTGTCATCTTGGGGCTCTAAATTGTAGCTAATTCTTCAAAAGGTCTATTAAAATGTAATTTCTAGAGAATGTGTTCATGTTAAACAGTAACAATCTGGAAGGGAACCTTTCTTCCTTGCCTTTGTTGGTTCTTTGTTGTTCTCTCAGAATTTTGGCCAAAAAATGATGACTGTGAATCAGTTCAGTGTTGGCTCAGTCTCATGGTTCCGCTGCCTGCTGTAACCACTGTCCGCTCTATGTGGACTTTGGTGACATCTCTTGAATAGCATTTTCATGTTAAATGACAGAGCTCTACTGAAGATGTAATATCTTACTTTTTTTAGTGGAGAAACAGGATTTATTGAAGAAACTTGTTTTATTGGAAAAAGCTTCTTAAGGAAAAAAAATTAGAAAATGGTTTACTAGTTCCTAAATTTAAGCTGTTCGTACTTAACCTGGGAAATAAGTGGCCTCTTGGTTGGTTCCTGCGTCATCCTAAATTTAGGCTGGATTCTCTAGTATCATATATATCATATAAACTCATTGGAATTTTTTAATTTTATTTTTATTATTTGTGTGTGTGTGCACCGTCAAATCAGCTCTGACTGGTACAGGAGGAGACTGTCCCTCCTTCCCCGGCAGAGCATCTGGTGGATTCAGACCATGCGCCTCTGGGATTGCAGCGCAGCTTCATGCCACTAAGCCACCAGAGCTCCCCTTAATTTAATTTTTTTTTAAAGTGGCTGTCAGTAATTTATTTAATGAACTTTTTTTTGCATTACAATAAGAGAAAATATAATTTCTCATTTAACAATTTATTCTTTTTTTCCCCCTCTTTTTTTCTTTTCGGAGAGGGGAGCGAACTGGTGGGGAGGGGTGGGCAGCGAGAAAAGTGTGGCAATGAATGAATGGAAATCCAAAATCTGTAAATGTTTATTAAAATTAATAATTTAATTTTTTATTAAAAAAATCAAAACAGTAGAAAAAAGTCATGCAGTGAAAGTCCCTTTTCCACTCTAGCCTGGTTCACTTAATTCCCTATCTCAATCATTTATCATTTTATTACTTTTCTTGAATTTCCACATGAAAATAACAATAAAGATTTATATTCTTATGGCTAATATAAACAAGAATTTATGTTCTTATATTCCCCAATTTTTTTTTTTTTTTTTTAAATCTTACATGAAACTTTAATACCTCAACAGCCAACAGACAAAATAAGAAATTCAATTTTTAAAATTAATAGAGAACAGGAAAATACATGAAAAGAAGACATTAAAGTTGCCCAGAAACACGGGAAATGCTCATGACCATTATTCACTGTGGTAGGTGCTGTCAAGTTAGCTCCAACTCACAGAGACCATATGAACAACAGAATGAAATGTCCAATCCCACACCATCCTTTCAATCTCAGTTGTACAAAAGCCCATTATTGCAGTCACTGTGTCAACCCATCTAGTTGAAGATACCATTTTTTCCTTACCCTCTACTTTTTTTATATTCCCCAATTTTTTAAACAAAAAAATAGTAGACTATCTGCTCTTCTGCATTTTTATCTGCTTTTCTTTAGTTTACTAAATTAATCTTTATTTTTTAGGTAATTTTTAACTGCCAAAAAATTGTGCAGGAAGTACAGAGTTCTCATATATCACCTTCCCTCATTTTTTTTAAAACCTAATATATCTTTCTAACTTTAGAAATGAAGAACGTTGTCTTTTGTAATTGTATGGTATTCCAAGTTACAGATATGCCAAGATTTACAAACTAAATCTTCTATGATGGGAGCATGGCTATTTCCAATTATTTATAATTGTAAACACTGATGCAGCCAGTAACTATATTTATCCATCATTTCCTGTGAGTGCAGATGTAACTGCAGATTGTCCTGCCAGGAGGGGAGGTCTGGTGGTGTATGTATTCCACAGGAAGTTGTGCTGCCCACTGTAAGGGTGGTTTAAATCCACTGTCAGCTCTGTGGGAGAGAATGGGCATTTTCCTTCTGCGTGATTTACACAACCTCAGCAGCCTGCTGAAGAGTCTTCTATGAGTTGGTTCTGACTCAACAGTAATGAGTTTGAAGTTAGTTTTGTTTTTAAAGGTGCTGGGTCATATTATTGTTGTTGTTAGGAGCCATTGAGTCAGGTCAGACTCCTGGTGCCTCTTTGTAACAAAACAGAGCCCTCTCCAACCTTCACCATCCTCACAATCTCTGCTGTGTGTAAGCCCATCGGTGCGGTCACTGTATCAGTCCATGCAGGGCCTTCTCTTTTTCACTCTCTACTTTAACAAACAAGGCGATCTTTTCCAGAGACTAAACTACCTAATAACATACCCAAAGTATGTGAGATGAAATTTATTCTACAAGGTCATAGAGGAAATTGATTTATAATTTTGGTTTCTAGTTTCGTTTTCCCAATTTAAAACTCTGTTTTCATAACTCTGTATCTTAGCAGACCCTCAACAGAATGTGCATAATTTTTTGCCAGTCAGACAGGTTAAAAAAGGATACGAATCCATGTACTATAATTTTAATTTGCATTTTTCCATGAAATGCCTATTTATGTCTTACATCCCTGTTTTTTTAAAAAATTATTTTTAAGAACTTTTTGGAATTTCTCCCGATTTGTCTTTTTCTTTTGATTTGTATTATAATACTAAGTAGGACTGAAAAACATTTTTATGTAGTAAGTTTTATCTTTCATTCCTTTTTCAGCATCTAGATTTATGATTTAGTTAGAAAGACCTTTACTATTGCAAGTTTACAAAGACATTTGCTGTATACTTTTACATTTAAATCTTTGGTTTTATGTTTTACACTTTCAATCTTTTCTACATTTGAAGTTTATTTTGACCTACACCCATATACTTTAAAATGGTATGATTTACACAGTTATCGTTGTAGAGACATATTTAAATTATATTGCTCTGCTTAAAATATTTCTTATTTACCTGGATAAACATAATTTCTTGGGAAAATTATCAGTTTCTGTAATTATTGTAGTGTATATCTTAAGAACTTGTGCACATTTAACTAAGAAAATGACATTTTCTACGATTATCTTGTGGTTGTTAAGCACCATTGAATCTGAACTGCCTCATAGTTGACCCTCTCGTGGGTTTTCAGAGGTTGCAAATCACATTGGAGTAAATTGCCCATATTTCGACAACAGAGCCGCTAGTGAATTCGAACTGCTTGCTTAGCAAGTACAGTATGGTTCTTTATCTGTGGTTCATTTGGTTTTGATTATTTGGGCCAGTCAGTGATATTTTTTAAACGTAAGATCTGAATATAGCCCTGTTTCCTGACATCTCATTCCCTGAAGTTTCCATAAGATTGCTTTAAAGCAATAGGTTAGTTCAAATTTGTTTCCCTTTTTTCTGGTTTCTCCATGAATTACCTCTTTGTATCTTAGATCATTGGTCTTTTTAAAATTGCTTTAATAACTGTTAAGATTTTTCTTTCTAATTTGTCATTTACTTTTGATTTTAATGATAATGCCAGATAGACTTAAAACATTTTTAATATTTTGATTCCTTAGTGGAACTCCCAGAAACTCCATCTACCTCCTCAGGCCCGCTGTCTAACTCTGCACCCAGGAAGGCCTCCCAGTTTGCACATGGTGAGTACATGGTTTGCTAATACTTGGGTTTGGTCTGCTGCAGAGAGTGGTATGTTCATGTGGAGGACAGGTTATGGCTGCCTCACTGCTGCTAGGCCCTTTCCTTGGCTTCCTGCCTTCCTGAATCTACTTCCTTACTCAGCACCTTCCATATGGAGAGCTGATGAGAATAGCAAGGCAGGGTGAGAATTCTAACATTCCACGCTAAGCCATACCTGTGAGTACTCAGAGCTGAGGCACCGTTTGGGCCTCCTTGCTGGGATCACCACTTACAGCCCATTGCCCAGTCTTTATTGTGCTTAGTTACTCCTGCCCTCCCAGAGTAGGGTGGTCCTTGTGACCATGGATCCAGGAGCCACACAGCTTGGGTTTGAATCTCAGCTCCTTTGTCCCTTAGCTGTTTGATCTTGGACAAGGAATTGAATCTCTTAGAGCCTCAGTTCTCTCATCTGTACAATCAAGACAATAGTAGTGCATCCCTTAATAGGATTGCCGTAAGGGTTGAATGAATAAACGTACATACGATGTCTAGAGTAGCTATTGCTAGGGTGCTAATTTTATTGTTCTTAATGTTATGTGCCATCAAGTCAGAGTGGACTCATAGCTGACCCTCCAGCAGGTTTTCAGAGGCAGTAAATTACGTGGGAGAAGACTGCCCAGGTTTCTCCCAAAGAACAGCTGGTGGATATTTGAACTGCCTGTCTTTGAGGTGGCAGAGCAACGCCTTACCACTACACCACCAAAGCTCCCTAGAGTGTTGATCAAGTTGCCACCCCAACTCTGCACAGTGGGTTCAGAGCATTGTGACCGTAGGGTTTTCGGTGGCTGATTTTAGGCAGCTCAGCCTTTCTTCCCAGTTTATCTTAGTCTGAAAACTTGGCTGAAACCCACTCAGCAGCGTCATAGCAGCACTCGGGCCTCCATTCACGGATGGGCAGTGGCCGCACCTGAAGTACAGCGACCAGGAACAGAGCACCCGGGTGTGCTGCACAGGAGACGAGAGTACTATGATGGAACCGCCAGTGCCCCCATTTGATAGGAGACACGGGGAAACACGTAAAATAAACATCAGGGATTCAGGTTTAACTGGGAAGTTACAAATAATCATGGGTGCAAGTCACCGAAACTGAAGGTAGATAGAAGGTGGTGAGTGCTGTAAAAGAGATAAAGCATGGAGGTTATTGAGAAAGGCGAGGCATGACTTCTTCCAGGGGAGGGTCAGAGAGAGCTTCCTGGAAGGGGGCCAGTGAGTAGGTGAGAATCAAATGAGAATCGAATTAACCTTGTTCATTGAACTGCAGGGTTTGTGTATAGAAAGCTGCTAAAAAACCCAAACCAAAAGCCCCCCTGCAAGTTGATGGACTAATCTGATGCTAACTTGAGTAAATAAATCATCACACTGAGATATCCAAAGCTGATTTTTGCTGTCTGATGACTGCATAGCATGAGGTTTTTGTTTCTGTTCCCTCCCATCACTCTCCAGGGTCCAACAAACTAACGTTTGACCTGAGCAGCCTCTCCTGTAGCTTGGAGCTCTCTGAGGACGGCTGCACAGTGACTGTGTCGCACTGGCCACAGTTCTATCCCTGGAGTCGTGAGCGATTTGAGACCTGCCAGGTTTTGTGTTCCCCTGGTCTTTCCTATGGCCAGTGTTCCTGGAAAGTAGACACTCAACACTGTAGCTACTGGGCTGTTGGAGTGGCTTCGTGGAGGATGAGCCGTGACAAGATCCTGGGACGGACTGAAGACTCCTGGTGTGTAGAGTGGAGGGGGACTGGTCAGCTCTCTGCATGGCACATGGCAAAGGAAGTTGCCATCAGCTCAGACAAGCCTGCAGTGGTGGGCATCCAGTTGGACCTGATGTCAGGGAAGCTCGCCTTCTATGAAGTGACGCATCAGGAGAAGTTTCTATATGAGTGCTCGGTCCCTGTCTCCTATCCTCTGCACCCGGCCTTCTGGCTGTATGGCTTACTTCCTGGGAACAAGCTGACACTGAAGCAAGAAATGGCATAAAGGCACCTATAATAAAACACAGTGGTTTCAAAGGCTCTCTACTTTCTTCTGGCTAAAGAATTCCACTTGTGAAAGTAAGGTATAATTTATGAATTACTAATTTTCAGTAATTTGCCTGTATAAATTTATCAATTTTGGTGTAACAATAGTAAGATAAATTTAGTGGTTTAAGAGAGCACAACATGTTTGTTCTTTCATCGAAATTAAATTAGGAGCAAAGGTGCCATTAGCTGGATTCTCTGCTTCAGAGTGTCACAGGCTGCAGTCAAGCTGTCAGCCCGGGCTGCAGGCTCATCTGGGGTGTGAGTGGAGAAGGAGCTGCTTCCAGGGTCACATGGTCTTTGGTGGCCTTCAGGGCCTTGTGGATGTGGGCCAGAGGCGCTCGGTCTTTTGCTGGCTGTTGGCTAGAGGCTGCCTTCAGTCCCTTACCACAGGGACCTTCACAACTGCCTTACTTTCTCAAAGCCAGCAGGGAAGAAAGAATCTCCTCTTAAGATGGACATTACAGTTTTCCATAACATGATCCTGCTTCAGTTTTTTTGCTTGAGTTTTGGCCTGTTGGTTCTGCTGGTTAAAAGCAAGTCACAGACTGTGCCCAAACTCAAGAGGGAAGGTGTGATTAGCAGAGAGGACATGAATACAAGGAGGTGTATTTATGGGGCTGCATTAGAGTTTGAGACGTATCCTTTCATATTTGATCTTCCTTAGTTGTAAAATCATTTAATTGTATAATAAAACAGATAAAGGAAACTTAGGGTGATTTACTGCACCTGCTGGAGGCTCAGCTATGGGTCAGTTCCAACTCTATTGCTCACAACAGCTAATACATTTTGAGCATGTTATTAGGAGGGGTTCTCATTGTTTTCATTAAGTGCCATCAAGTCATAGACAACTCACAGCAACCCTATGAATGAAAGACTTGAACACTTGTATAACTTTTATCGTTTTTCCACATTCATAGAGTTTCCAGAGGCAAGCCATTTCAGAAGTGGATACCACTCCTGCTTCCAAGATTGTTTTAATTGGGGAGCTCCACCCAACACTGTCCATGCTGGGTAACCATTATCACATTCGGCACATCAGTGTCACAGTGTTTATAGCATCACAGCAACCACCAATTACCTCTGTACAGCAAACGGACATACCAAGGCTTTACCACTTAGAAGAAAGTTTGTGTGTGGGGGGTTAGTCCTTGGAAAACTATCATTCCAGGAAAGATGGAGTGTCAGAGAAAGCAAAAGACCCTCAATGAGATGGAGTGACACAGTAACTGGACTGGTGCAGGATAGGACCAGGGAAGGGCCATTCACAGGGTCACTGAATCATAGCTGAGTTACTAGCACCTAACAACAACAATCCCTTATTGGTTTTGCCTTTTACTTACCTCAATTTATCTATATATTAATTTTTTATCCCCTTTCCCTCCTTTCTCAAAAGACTAGTCAGTCTTTTGGTCAAAGTTGAATGGCTTTATAAGCAGTTAAACTTTATAAACAAAGAGGGCAAAAGTCAGGATTTCTGGCTTAGCTAAACAATTGTTTTTTACAAAGTGCCTATTTAGGATGTTTACTCAGTTTGATCTAAATGATTGCCTTGCTTTTAAACTCTGATTCTGGAAGTTAGATACTGGATTAAGATTGGTAATATTAAGATGAAGCTTGTAAAATGTCTCAAACTCAGTTGCCAAGAATAGGTGTATATCAAATCTTGGTTCTGAAACCCTAACTTCCAAATAAAATTTATACTCACTGGGATTTTTCTGCTGTGTTTCCTCTGGCTCTTTTTAAGTCTGTAAGAAAGGTAGAGTTTAACTGTCTTGTAAAAAGAGGAGGCAGAAATTTTCTGTCAAAAGAAAATTAGCCCCTGACAGAATGTAAACAACCCTTAATGTAACAACTTCTGAATGCAACAAATAAGCCTACTAATGGTTTTTTTAAAATGTTTAAACTTGTGTTTCACATGTGTTTTGTAACTTTTGTCATGTTTCTTCCCCTCCCCTGGGGTTCCTGGAAGCATCCTTTTATGTATTTTAAAACCTCACTGTTGAACCTGCAGTTCCAAGCACTACAGCATCCTCTAGAGATGGCTGTGAATGTTTTCAGTTTCGTTAAATGTTATTATTCCTTCAATAAAATGATTTGTTTTTAATCCTAGCAGAGCTACATTTGTGCCTCACTAAGAAAGGTCCAACTCAAGAGAACTATGTTTTTATAAAATTTTAATTTTTTTTATTGATTATAATGAAAGTTTACAGAGACTTTGGATTTCCATTCATTCATTGTTACACTTTTCTCCCTGCCCACGCCCTCCCCTCCCAATTCGTTCTTCTCTTTGAAAAGTAAGACAAAAAGTCTTTCATTGTTATACAATCCCTCCACGCAAGTCCACTCCATTATGCAGCCTTCATTCTGGACTCCAGTCATGACAACAATACCTAATCATATACCCCTTTTAAACAGTTCTCTCCCTTATCTGTTTCAATGCAGTATACATTATTTATCCCCTCTTTCTCAGTCTCTCCTTAACCCTGATGTCAGTCCCATTTTACAACAGTGGAACTATGCAATATTTGTCCTTTTGTGACTGAGATATTTCACTCAGCATAATGTCCTCCAAGGTCACCCATTTTGTGTAATATTTTTAGTTCCTTGTTTTTCACTGCAGCATAGTATTCCATTGTGTGAATATACCAGCACTTCTCTATTTGTTTTTAGATGGGCACTTGGGTTGTTTCCATCTCCTTGCTGTTGTGAATAAAGCTGCAATAAACATGGGTGTGCAAGAGAGAACTATTTTCAAGAAGTCGTTTTCTTCTAATGCACCTCTCAATAGACTTGAACTTGCAACTTTTTGTTTAATACCTGAGCATGTCAACTGTTTTTATTATTCTTGTCCATTTTTAACAAAGTAATATCCTTCTGAACAGTTTTTGAGGCCTAATTTGTAAACCATAAAATGTAGTCATTTAAAGGGTGCAAAAAATGGTTTGTTTTTTTTTAAAGTATATTTACAGAGTTGAGCAGCCATCATTATATATTTAGAATCTTTTTATCACTCCATAAATTAACCTTGTGCATTAATAGTTGGTACATCTTTTAATCTACATGTTCCCCTCTATACCTTTTTGCCCTTAAATTTTTTCTATAGAGACCCCTGAGCTGGATTAGCACCTGTTTATTATTAATAACTGGCTATGCTTTCAGTGAAAGTTCACACAGTAAAATTGGTTCCCATTTTAACAGTTACTACACAAATTGTTCATTGACAGTACACATTTTTTCAGAGTGTCAACATTCCCTTTGGTTCTGTTCTGTGAGTTCAATTTCCAGTGATCTAGTTCCCATGTCTCATGTGTGGCTCTAACAAATACCTAAAATGTGTAAATGATTTTAGATTTGGATAATGAATAGAGGCTGGAAAAACCTTTAAGCTGCCTCTGAGGAAAAAAAAACCAAAAACCATCATGACTGGACAAGGGGAGGGTCAGGGAAAGAGTGGAAAACCCTTAAGGAGATGGCCTGACAGATAGTGGCCGCGGTGATGGATTTAAGCACATGGGAATGGTGCAGGCCGGGCAGCATTTCATTCCAGTGTCGCTCTAGGCTCACTCTAACTTGACAACACCCAGCGTGCTCTGCCTCATTACTGCTGAGTCAGAAACAACGCACAGTTGACCCTCTATTGGGTTTCCAATTTATTTTACAAATATTTTTCACCATCACTAATCACTTACCCTTTGCCATCAAATGGAACCAACTCATGGTTGACCCTCCAGTGGATTTTCAGAGGCTGTAAGTCACGTTGAGAAGAGATTGCCTACTTTTCTCCTGCGGAGCCATTGATGGATTCAAGTGAGAGGCCACTTTGGGGTGAGGAGAACATTGACATCCCCAGAGTTCCTTAGTATCCCTAACACTCACTAGTTTCAATGACTGCAGAAGTTTTAGATCATATTTAATGTAAGAGCCTATGGTGATGAAGGAAGAAGTTCAAGCTGCTTTGAAGGAAATAGCAAAAAATAAGGCCCCAGGAATAGATGGTATACCAATTGACATATTTCAGATAACAGATGTTGCCCTGGATGTGCTCACCAAGTTGTGCCAAGAAATCTGGAGAACAACCACTTGGCCAACTGACTGGAAGAGATCTATATTTGTTCCCATTCCAAAGAAAGGTGACCCAACTGAGTGTGGAAACTACAGAACAGTGTCATTGATTTCACATGCAAGCAAGATTCTACGGAAGATCATCCAAAAACGATTAGAACAGCACATCAGCAGAGAACTGCCGGAAGTCCAGGCTGGGTTTAGAAGGGGTCGTGGTACTAGGGATATTGTTGCTGGTGTTAGATGGATCTTGGCTGAAAGCAGAGAATACCAGAAGAATGTCTATCTGTGTTTCATTGATTATGCAAAGGCATTTGACTGTGTGGATCATAACAAACTGTGGCTGACTCTGAGAAGAATGGGAATCCCAGAACATTTAATTGTGCTAACATGAAACCTATACTTGGACCAAGAGGCAGTAGGCAGAACAGAGCAGGGTAACACTGCATGGTTCAAAATTGGGAAGGGTGTACGCCAGGGATGTATCCTGTCTCCATACCTTTTCAACATGTATGCAGAGCAGGTTATCCGAGAGGCTGGGCTCTATGAGGAGAATTGTGGCATCAGGATTGGTGGAAGATCTATTAACAATCTCCGTTATGCAGATGACACAACCCTGCTTGCTGAAACTGAGGAGGACCTCATGCACTTGCTGCGAAGGGTCAAGGACTGCAGCCTTCAGTATGGACTGAGGCTCAATGTCAAGAAGACAAAGATTCTTGCCACTGGACCAATTGGCAGCGTCAGGATGGATGATGAAGAGATTGAGAGTGTTCACAGCTTCCGTTTGCTCGGCTCCACAGTCAACACTCTTGGCACCAGCAGTCAGGAAATCAAAAAGCGTATCGCGATGGGAAAGTCTGCTGTTAGGGACCTCTCTAAGGTACTCAGGAG